TGCAAGAAATGACATTTGAATCCCTCTCTATCTGGATCTGTCCTCCCCATCTCCTTTGCCTTGTTCAGCATAGCATGAAAGAGTGTTGTATGTGAACTAGGAATCCAATCTGTGCTGCTTTCTTGCTATTAGTTAGATCAGTCATTACGTGATTAGTCAGTGCAAAAGAATTGCATCCTAGTTTTCACAGGCATATTAGTTTTCACACATGGGTGTGAGATTCAGACAACACTTGCCTTCCTCATACTCCCTGGAGATTAGACCTGTTTTTGCAACCCAGCTCTGCTATTGTCCTTCTGCAACAACCGCACTCCCTTGGGTCCAGATATACATGGTCACTGATCTGGGATTAGAGGCCCTGTTGAAGGGTGCAGCCTAGTGCTGTGATTTTATTTTCTCTCTCTCTTTTTTTTTTTTTTTTTTTTTTTGTATTCCTGTCATCATACAGTGGAATAAGTCAGAGACCACCAGCTTGCTTGAGTGTGAAAAACCTCTGTGGGGCTTAGGTAAATGAGTTTTATGTTACAGTTTGCTTATGCAGAATAGTGAAGGCACAGATAAGTAGTCACTAATGCACCAAGGTCTAAGTYGATCCTGTTTCAGAATAATTGGCACTGAAAAAAAAAAAAGTTTCTGCTTGAGTTTGTTATAATAGGAGCCTTGTTACAGACAAGATTTATTGGGTTAGAATGATGTCAAATTGCCCTTGCAGGTCTATTTTTGCRGATAGATGGAGCAGTTTAAAGATGGTAGTAATTACAAAAATGGAACAAGAACTGCATCTTCTGTTTTGCTCCTTAGGTGAATTTCTGTTTCAGTGCACCAAGGCAGAACTCTGGCATACGTCTAGAACATATGCATCAAAAGCTTTTCAAGTTTTATAATAAGAAATGTCCAGGCCATTACAATAATCTCACCTCCTCCTTGTACAAGTGCATGCAAAGAGCTTTACCGTGCTTAAGGTGGAGAGGATCATTTCTCTTACTTCTGCAGTTGTGCCCTAGTGAGCTTAGTATCTTGGAGCTGGAGAATGATGTCAAGCCAGTTTTCCATAATGGGAAAGGACAGTGCAGAACTTTAACTTTGAGTCACATCCAAACCCTCATAGGTGTTTGTTGTTTAAAGACTACATGTTCATGAATCCACTAAAAATGGAAAACTCTTAAGGTCTAAGTTCCTATTAAGAAACTAAATTTCACTTACAATTGCATTAGTCTAAATCATATAGTGAATCCCCAGGCCTTTGTCAATTGATGTCAAGTTCATATTTTGCAAAACACTTTTTCTTTATGGTGTTTGTACAGTGAGGTGTCCTTCTGTTGTTTTCTACTAGATGAGGGTTTTTTTCCATTCAACTTCTCATCTCTGACACGTTTTTGCAGCTTTTTTTTCAAATTTTCAGCAGTTTGTCTTTTTAATCTGAAGTGTGACTGCAGTGGGTAATACAACACGGATAATTTATCAGTAATTATGGTACAGAAAGCACACTTGAGGGGAAAAAAAAGCATTCTCAGCTGTATCTCTTGGAGCATCGAGATTATTTGTCTTCCTATCCAGTTACTATTCCAAAACTCATGGAAGAAATGGAGTTAAAGTCAAAAGCTTGGTGAATCCAGTTAGTCTTAAGTCTGCTGGGAAGAAAAGACTTAACTATGTATCCTGTCATGCAGTGATCTGTAGTGTGGATACCTTGGATCTCACTGACTGCAAAGCATCGCTCTTGAAAGTACTGAAGTCTATTGGATGAGATGGAAACAAGGAAGGACTTAATGCCAGTGCTTTAGAATCCCGTGCTATTTCCAGATTCATTTCCAAAATGAATTTCAGAGGACTATGATTCCTCTAGGTGTTTGGTGTTATAAAGGCAGCTCAGCTACCTTTAGCGGACTACCCCTTTTCTAAAGATACATTTATGTGTCCTGGTCTAGACCACTTCCTCTAGCACCTTGCAAAAGCTAGTTTCACATGAGAAGACAAAAGTTTCACAAGGCATCTGGTACAGTCTTCACTTTGTTTGTTTTGTAGTTTAAAAATTACTAGAATTTAATATTTATTATGCTATCTTTTCATGTCCCAGTCTCCAGATAGATGGGTAAACAGGTATGCTGTATCCCCAGAGATAAGCAAAGCAGAGATGCAGAGCAGTTCCTCATGGTGATTTGCCATGTGAGCCAGGCAATCATCCTCCTGATGCTTTGCCCTCACTGCTAGGGAAAGTGCTTTCACCACACTGCACTGGTGCCTTCTGCTCATGATAAAGTGCATGAGAAAGCATCATGCCATAAAATGTCACCTAAAAAGCATGAATTTTAGCCCAAAATAGATCACCCCGGGAAAGAGGATGGTAGAAGACTTACCACACCACCCTGTCAGTGAGGTTTGAGCTTCTGCTGCTTCTGTCTGAATCCAAAACCCAGGTGACACAAGCCTTGGGCCTGGTCTGAACTGGCAGCTGACCCTTTTTTGAGCAGGAGCCAAGAAACAGGCCTAGAGACCTCTTACAGTCCCTTCCAACCAGATTTATCCTGTGGTTCTATGAATCTGTTTGTCTTCCAGTTTTGCACTGCAAGTTTACTTTTTCCAGTTTAGCAGAATTTGAAAGGGTRTAACTAGAAGCAAGATGTGACTGTGGAGAGAATATCTGTTTGCAGATGCTGTTATTCTGGTGAATTTGCTAGATATCTCTAGTATTTGGGGATATCTCTGTGTGAGCATGTTCCCAGAACTGTTGGTAAGATTCCAAGCAAACCTAAGTTAAGATTTAGTCATTAAATACTAATGAAGGACAATTAATATTTAGGTTTAACCTTGTGTTTACCTACTGAACTGGAAGGGGCCATGTTCACAGCACCTCAGAGGAGTCAGATGCAGACTAAAAGGCTTCTTACTTCTCTTTTCAAAGAAAGATTAACTAAAGCCTGAGAGAGAACCAGCAAATCTGGTTGGTAAGGAAGGAGAACAGAAAGGTGGATCAGAGCCAGAAGAACAAAGACTCCAGGTGTTGGAAAGGACTGTGTAAGGCAGTGAAGATTCCTGAAACCATATGAGAAACAGAGAAAMCGCGAGGAAAGGGGAGAAGAAAAGAAGGTTTGAGGGGTTAACTTGCTAGAGAGACCAGACTTTGTACTTGAGATAATGACCCATGAATTTTAGAAGGAACTAGGCCTACAGAATGAATGTCTCTGATAAGACTGCAGAGGAAATGAGGGGCTACTCATTATATTATTTGCATCTGCTTATTTCTCCTAGTAGCTACAGAAATGGAAATTTTAGTCCTGTATGAAATAATTCGATTCTGTTTTGTGAAGATTTATTTCTGAAAACATATGCCCTGGAGATGTATCATAGAAAGCAAGAGAGAAAATGTTATCTGCGCAGATCAAAGAAAACATAGATTGCCCCAAATGAATGCACCAAAGAATTTTGGCTCTTCCACCAAAGGTTAGCCTCTCCTCTAAGCAATTGGCTCAACTTATGCCTACCCTTTCAGATCTTCTTTGATTAAGGCAGCCTGGTCTAGAAGCACAACAGTGGCATGTTGTTGGCCAAATAACTTCAATCGAGGCTCTGAACAACAGCTGTCAAGCTGGTAAAAAATACCAGAATATRAGTTCTGGTCTCATGCAAGTGAAAATCAAATGTTACCTAGCTGGCTGGCTTGCTTATGCATGCTGCTTTTCTTCCTTGCATCTGTTTTGGCTTTATTAGCAGTGTGATCTAATGGGTTAACTGACAATATCTCAGGAGGGTTGGTAACAAAGAAGATTAAGGGACTGGAGCATCTATTTTATGAAAAACGACTAAGTGAGGTGGGCCTGTTTAGCCGCGAGAAGAGAAGGCTGAGAACGGATCTCACCAATAGGTATAAATACCTGAAGGGTGAATGCAGGGAGGGACAGGCCAAACTCTTCTCAGTCATAGGACAAGGGGCAATGGGTGTAAGCTGAAACACAGGAAGTTCCATCTCCATGTGAGGAAGAACTTCTTTGCTGTGAAAGTGACAGAGCCCTGGAAGAGGCTGCCCAGGGAGGYTGTGGAGTCTCCTTGTCTGTAGATCTTCAAAACCCACCTGGATGCCACCCTGTGCCATGTGCTCTGGATGTCCCTGCTGGAGCAGGGGTTTGGATGAGATGATCTCTAGAGGTGCCTTCTAGCCTCAACCATTCTGTAAACAGCTTAAGGGCGTAGACCTTTAGAAGGGCCAAAGTCTCTACAGGGTTGGATGTCTCCAGGCCTGGGAGCAGGTTGTGCTCAGTGCATCCACATGCTAATTGCAGGGTGACATGACCTGCACCATGTGCCTCACAGGATGGAACTAATGGGGGCCTCTCCCCTTGCTAAATATATGCCTGGAGCAGAGTTGGGAGCAAAAGTGCTTTTGTACAAATTATTTTCAAATATCTGCAGATTCTGGACTAGAAATTCCAGAATTCTCTAAAAGGAGGAAAAAAAGACAATTGAGGCATTTCATTTTGAAATATTGAACATTGAATTCAATATTGAATTGAAATATTGAATATTGAAATATTGAATATTCATTGAAATTGAATATTCATTTTCAGTATTGAAATATTCCATTTTTTTAGCTTTTTAAGTTGCATGTTTCCTTTAAATAGATGAATGCACAAACCAGTGCAAAGCTCTAGCTGTTCTCCCTTATATGTGCTCTGCTGTTTGAAACACCATGTGTTTGAGTTACTTATGCAGGGCTGGCAGAGGTGCTTATTCTTAATAAGATTGTACAAGCTAGGCACAACTTCATGGTCCATAAATGTAATTATRAAGTTGGGTTTGGGAGCCTTTCTGCGGAATATGCTTTCAACAAATATACATTATTGAGTAAAAATTAAAGTAAGAAGGGGAAAGCTGAGGGTTTCTATTACTTTGTCCATAGGAAGTGWCCTCCCCACAGTAAAAATAATAAAAAAGGCCTTTTTTTTAGAGGTACTTGAATTCTTCATTAAGATACGGTGGGTCAAGGAAATAAGAAGGCAAAAATCATGAAAATGTAATTTGAAAATTTTTGAAAAAAACTCTAAGAACGCTTTACAGCACAGACTTGATAGGGTTTTGGGACAACGTTAAACCCAACGGCAGGAGTGAGGTCCAGGTCTGAAGAAGAAACTCCAGGGGGTGGTTGGAAGGTGAACTGCTGCAGGAGGCTTGTGAAGAAGAGGAAGAGCTCCATTTTGGCCAGAGTTTCACCAGCGCAGATCCTCCGCCCTAGAACAAAATGTGTAACATCCATAACAACATCACAGCAGCTGCTTTTTCAATGATGGGAGGGAATAAAAGCTTCTGAGCAGCTGTAATTCTGAGGAAGAATGGCAGGAATCCATAATACATGGAATATTATATCCCTAGTATAAACAAAGAACAATGTAGCTCTTTAAATTGCATTGACTAGTAAATCAGAGAATGGAGGATACAAGAATCATCCGAGAGGAGACTTGGTTTTCAGAAGCATCATAACGAAGCCATCATGTGATTTTTTTTCCTTTTCTTTATATAAATGAGCCAGCTATATCTGGGGGTAGATATATGAAAATGCCATCTCAATTTCTTCTATATTAAAAAAAAAAAGTATTTTTTCTTCATTTTCAGATTTTGAGTTTAATCAGGGTCAGTTTGCTTTTTAGTCTCCCACCACATCAACTTAAGTCAGAGGTAATTTGTTTAAATTAAATTTTGTCTGAACAGACCTAGGAATTTCATGAGTGTTGGCTAGAGAGGAATAGAAGGGGGAAGTAGTGGAGATACTCTCTGGAACCCCCAATATAAGCTTATCTTCCAGTACACAGTGAATATATTTTTTTCTCAATCCAGGACATATTCAGCAATTTGTAAACTTCCTTAATCACGGGATAGTTATTTAAGGCCTGAATTTACAATGGTTTCAAGTAARATGTGATTTTAGCTCCCTCGTGTGACAGAAACTGGAAAAAAGAGAAGGTACCTGCTGAAAAAGGCATGAAAGCATCTTTCCTTATGAACTTTCCCTGGGAATCAAGGAAGTGTTCAGGATAGAACATCTCTGGTTTCTCCCACTGTGATTTGTCTTGCAGGACAGAGGTCAGCAAGGGGATGATGTAGGTTCCCTGTAAAATTAGACAGTAGAGTTATTCTGSGGAAAAATATGTTCTGAGGTGGCAGAGATGGTAATAAAATCTTAACCTAAGGAAATGCTTCTGAACAACAACATTATTCTGACTGCTGCCTGGTGTTTATCATGGTTTCATAACTGACATTAACAGGTTTGAAATAGGAGAAAATATAAGAAAAGTGCTGCTGTAAGTATCTCACCTTGGGAATGAAATAGCCTTTGAGAGTGACATCTGCAGTAGTCTCATGAGGCAAGTCCAATGGCAGGATATTAGCAAATCGCTGAACTTCATGGATAACAGCATCTGTGTATGGCATTTGAATTCGATGCTCAATTCTTGGGCGGTTTGACCCTATTACTCTATCTATCTCTTCTTGGACTTTTCCTGAGGAGAAAATCCACAGTATAAGTCATGGTCTCTGTCCCTGATACATACTGTGTTTTACTGATGCAAAGTATAAAAAACCTCAAGTGAAAATAATGACTTCTCTCCAAATCTGTTTTTTTCTTTCAGAAATAATGAGATGTGAACGATAGTACAATGTCTGATAATTTCTTTACCAATAGGAAAGGTTAATGGGCAATTTCAGAAGACTTTAGTTATCAGTATTTTCCCTTGTCAATCATACTCMTTGATACAAAAATGTATGTTCTTGCAGTAAAACATTAAGAACAATAATAATTAAATTACTTTTTAAATTTTCAGTTCAAAATTTAAAAATATTAATTTTTGGACCTTGTGCTTTTATTTGACTTCTAGAAGGTGGAAGACAATTTTTTCCATTTTGTCCATTCTTACCACTTACTCTGAATTTCAGGATACTTTAGCATCAGCAGAAAGCTCCAGTTYAGTGTGGTAGAAATAGTCTCAACACCAGCAGTAAACAAATTGCTTACCAAACTTAGCAAGTTGCTATTATGGAAATACCTATTGGTAGKGGATTTCTCCTGAAAGAAGAAGTAGGTGAGATTAAAGAATGAAATCTTAAAGGCTTTTTTTTTTTGTGCATGTTGTGAAAAAAGCAGTTTGGTCAGCTAACCATTTTTACTTAACTCTTGTATTAAGAAAAAGAGAGAAGGAAAATATTAATGATTCTGTTTTGTGTGATCTTACTGGGACTAGCAGCAAAAAGAGTTAGGCTTTTGCATGAAAAAGGTGACCAAAATATGTGCAAATTACCAAATTAGGATCCCAAGTGGGCCTAGGGGCTGTTTTAGTTCTGTTACACCTTATTGATGTTAAAGAGTCAGAAGCACAAAAGAATAGATAAGATAATGCCTCAATAAATCTAACAAAATGGTATGGAGAAAAGCTGAGAGACAGGTCGTGAGAAAAGATTCAGTTACCTCCTGTTGTTTAACCAGGAAAGCATCAATAAAACTTCTCTGATCATTTTTATCTAAAGTTTTGAGATGTTCTACGAAAGTCACTTGTATATAAGCATGGAATTTATCTCTGTTTTGAAGAAGAGTCTTCTGAGCCTTTAGGAGGAATCCGAGGCATGGAAAGATGTTGTATATCTATAAGAGCAAAAGATATGACATGGAGTTTACCAGCCAAAGGTCTGAAAGAACTTGTAGTAACAAATGAATACTATTGTGGCCTTTTCACAGACAAAATAATTAAGAATCAGTATTAATATATAATATAGTACTATAGTAATATATAGTTATTATGCTATTCTATATTAATATAGTATTATAACATAGTATTTTCACAGACAAAATAATTAAGAATCAGTATTAATATATAATATAGTACTATAGTAATATATAGTTATTATGCTATTCTATACTATATTAATATAGTATTATAACATAGTATTGATATATGACTGGAGAAATTCATGGTAGAAAACCCATCAAGGCCTGCTGGATACCAGGAACTTCTCAGACACAAATTACTGGAAGCTGAGTGTCAGGCACAGACAGCTGCAATTCACCCGCGGGAGACTTGATGGTGGGACAGAGGGATCTTTGCACAGAGCTCTGTAGCTACGGCTGTGTTTCCAACAAATTCTCCCCCCTCACAGACCAAATCTACCAGCTTTGAATAATGGCAAGTAATATCCAAGATGCAAAGGCCACCATAGATGCATTTTAGATTCATGATTTAGACTCTGACCACACAAAAATATATTGAGTACAATTTCAAAACAGGAGGAAGAAATCAGGGATAACTGCTAATTGAAATGTTGTCTAGAAATTTATTTTACATTTTGGCCAGTATTTCTGCAGTGTTTTTTTTTTTCTTTTTCAAAGCACGAAGCAACAGAAGTGGAGCTAGTTTTGCCACATCTGATATCCACATAGGGATATCAGAGCATGTTACTCAGTTGGACACTTCTGTGYACTGAAATGATGAGAATATATTTGGTGCCAGGGTTTCTCATATAAATAGACCACATGCTTTGCAGTTTCTTCCTGCAGCATGCTCTGAGAGAGTGTACTAGGTGGCTCGGTTTCTGATTTCTCAGGAAAGATGATGTCTGGAAGGTGATTGCTGCTGCAGAATTAATTTGTGTGGACCAAACTGCCCTTTTTTTCCCCATGGTCCTTGAGCTGGAACAAGGAAGGAGTAATTGCCCTGGCAAAAGTAGCTGTCTCCTCACTACTGTCTTTAAGGACCTTCATGCCTCTTTCCTGAAGTGTAATTAGCTTTGTGCTCCAAGGCAGAAGTTCCTGCTTCTCCACAATAATTATTCCAGCCTGTAGCCTAGTCCAGAGTGGCCTGGGGCAGAGAACAACTTCTGTCCTGGCACTCATTTCCTGGTCCCTGAGAAGGATTATTTTCTACATATCAGTCACACCAAGAGAGCAAAGAGCTTAGAGCAGGGAGAAAGTGAGAACAGTCAACTAATTTTTTTTCATTGCACTCATCAAAATATGGCTTAAGCTTTTTTAGAGAGAGGGATGAGGGGATTTCATTGTTTACTTCAAGACTGCTAGATTGTCTCTCAAGGTTTGTTTTGCCCCAAATATTGATAAACTTAAATAGTATGCCTCAGTATTTCAGATTTTTCTGGTTATTACAAATGACTGACTAGCAGAATAAGAGTGAACTGTTAGTATGTTCATACTGCATCTCGTGGAATAACAGCATAAAAATGTTCAACATTACCGTAACAAAAGGGTTCCCAGCAAGTCTCACGCTTTCATTGGTCAAATTTTGTAGTTTTAGAAATCTGGAGTCTTTGTAGTCAAATCGATTTCCAAGTAATATTGACACAATTATATTAGCAACTGCAGAATTAATCATTTTACTAGCATCAAAGGGTTTTCCTATACAACAAAGAAAAGAACATATTACATTACATTACAAGAGGCTGTGTAAATACTGGATTATTCCTATGTATTATTGTCATTTTTGATTCTTTTTATGATTATTGTTATTTACTTTTAGAGAACGATGCCAGCAAGCAACATTTGCCAAACACAAGCAGACCTGTTGGATATACTTAGGTATCTGAAACAGCGCTAGACCTCTAGTTTTATGCAACTGAATCCCATTCTAGATCCATTTTATTTGAATGAAATGGGAGCACCTGTGTCATCTGCATCATCTCACAGAATAATTGAATGGTTGAGGTTGGAAGGGACTTCTAGAGAGCATCTAGTCCAACCACCCTACTCCAGAAGGGACACCTAGAGCATGTGGCACAGGTTTTGAACCAGGAGGGTTTTGAAGACCAGAGAAGGAGACTCCACAACCTTCCTGGGAAACCTGTTCAGGCAGCCTGATGATCTCTTTGAAGAGAAATCAAAACTCTGAAAAGCAAGTGTGAATTTGAATGTGTATCCCACTAGAGAGTATCTCTCAGGCAAACTCGGAAAATCTCTCATCAAAGATTCCATCTTTCCTTTGGGATCTAGTGACCCCAAAGATTCAGAGCCATTTGATCAGATTCAGAGCCATGAAAATATTTTCCAATGAGATGTAAAGTGCTTTCTCTGTTCCCAGGAGCAACAATCTAAGGTCAGTTCAGAGGTATCAGAAACTGAAGAAGGAGGCAAATGCCAGAACTTATAACTCTCCACACTAACTAGGTAGAGAGAGTCCCTGGAGATGACTCATCCTCTTCTAAATCAGGTGGGAGGAATCATCCTCCAAACAAATACCTGCTTGTCTTTTTGTCCTCAACTACAAAATAAATCTAGCTGATTAGCTTAAACATCTGCCTTCTGGATGACTCAAATTTAATGAGAAAAATTCCACCTTGCAAGTTTTTTTGATATAATCTACTGCAACCTGTTAATTTATTGCTGCTCTCTTTTATGCCTCATGTCTAGGTTGCCGSAGAAAGAATATATAAAATCCACTGTTCCACAGCTTCTGCATGTGGCTATGTATGTCATGCCTTCCAATTGCAATTTTGGTTAAGACTGGGAATCTTTTGGAGCAAAAGACTATGAATCTACACAGAGCTCACCCAGGTGGCATCTGCTAGACCTTTGGAAGAAGCCTTTCATTTTTGCATCAAGTAACTGAGAAGAGCCAAATTCAGCAAGATTGATACAGCCTTGAGAACATTTCTTTTAAAGGTCAGAGTTTGAGAAGGCTATGGGCCTCTAGGTGCTTGAACAAAACACAGAGATCTGAAGAATGATTCATCTACCTACCTTCCTGTGACTCAATGATATCTGCCAGATACCCATATTCCTCCACAATGCGGTCCTCTATGGCCCTCTTTCCCATTCCAAAGTCTCGTAAGGTTGTGAGAGTAAATCTTCTCATGACTTTCCAATTGTCACCATGAGCAAATACAACCCCTGAAGCAAAGAAAATGTTTCAAGTTGGCAGAAAAATTTAAATAACAAGTTTGTAGATATGTAATATAGATATTTACTATCACTTTTAAATCAGGTTGAATTCCATTTGTCTGAGAAAATTTTCACCTCAGAAAAGGAATGAAAGCAAGCTATTTAATAGATGTTTAATTAATTCTTAATGAATCTTTGGGACATCTGTCACCAAAAAAAAYGGAGCACTGGAAATTCAAAGTCAAACTGGTAGGCATAATACTTTGGAAGCTGCAAGTGATTAAATGTTAGAGGAAATTATGAAAATGTGATATATGAAAGTCAATGATATTCCTGATATTCCCACTGCATTTTATGATTTTTTGATCCAACATGATGTTAGTTGCTACTTCATCTGTAGTAAAAACTTTTTTGAGTAAGTCAAAGAACAAGAAAATCAACTCACCATTTCCTCTGGTCAGATCTTCAAAGATTGGGATTTTAGGTCTCTCTGAAAATGCATCTGCCTGGTTTACAAGAGCCTCCTTCACTGTCTCATACCCAGAGATAACTACTATTTTCCTTTGCCCCATCTGCACACTGAAGACTGGACCATATGCTTTGGACAGCTGAGAGAAGAAGATAACAGTGATTTACAACTTTTACAGCCTACAAAGATATTCACAGCCCTTCAGTGCTGCTTATCTTCCTGCCTCTAGGTTACTGAAGTATTAAATTCTTAATAGGAATTCTTAACAGAAAAAGAGAGTTCACTTTATTAAAGTGAATGTGCCACATATTGTATGACTAATGACTACATAGCACAGTAAGGGGTAGAATCCTGATATGTTAAATAGAGCAGAAGTATTAGCAGCTTCAACCATCACTCATTTCACCCATGAGCCACTTATAGTCTCCTCTGCTGACAGATCTGTCTTTCCATTTATCTGAGAAAAATGCCCATAAAACCTTCCTTTAGGCTTCAGGAACCCACGTGAATTCAGTTTTATGACTCAGGTTTGCACTTTGATCCCTATGTTATTATGTTTCTTTTGTTCAGGCAGCTCCACTTCAGATGAATTCAACTATTCAATCCTTGACTATTGTAATTGTATAAAAAAGCAGTGCGTTCCTAGGTCAGGATATTGCCCTGGGTATGTTCTCAGTATATATGGCTACATTTACCATGAATCTCTCTGCATAGGGGATCACAGGGATGATGCTTGGCATCAGCTGGTAGCTGCCTAACTTGCACAGGCAGATTTATGTTCACACAGTTCAGTGGTGTTTTTGATTCTCTTAACAAAAGGAGGTGTTTTTCCTGCCTGCACTTAATTTCTARTGTGCTTGGGCAGAGGAATACAAAGCAAATATTTACCAGTGATATGATCACGGAGCATCAGTGACGCTTTGGAGTTGAGGGTAGCATCTATGGCAGTGTGATTGTTATTTCAGAGTAGTGTAGCTGCAGCAAAATCTGAACTTTTCAAAGTTTGTTCTTCAGTCAGGACTCTCCAACATTTGAAATGGTAGAGTTTTGAATGAGTACATGGCTTTCATTTGCATTTAGACATAGAGTATATGTGTTTTAAACCCTGAGCTAAGCTTAAATCAGAAGACCAACCTCCTCAGTTGCAATGGTTCCACTAGAATTACAGGGGAGGCATGCTAGTTCTAGTATGCAAGCAGATGAAGGTTGCATTGGTCAACCTGTATGTCCTGCTTTGAATATCTACAAATGAATTTCCAGATATACCATTTGAGTGATCTTTTATCTCTGAATGTAACTTACATGTGAACATGTAAGTTCAAATATCCCTTTTAATATCATCAACAAGTAGGATATGTGGAATTTCACTAAGTAGGAAAGAGAGGTTATGGAGTCTCCTTTGGAGATCTTCCAAAYCTGCCTGGATGCCACCCTGTGCCACATGCTCTAGGTGTCCCTGTTTGAGCAGGAGGGTCGAACTGGATGACCTTTAGAGGTCCTTTCCAACAGAGGTCCATTCTGTGATTCTGTGATAAATCCTGCTACGTTCTTAGTTCTCMATTCAAAAACAGTCTCTTATTCCTTGCTACTGTTGTGGATGTGACATCCAGATTTCAGTAGAGGAAACTTTGACATCTGGAACAATGTGGCTTGATGATATGGGCAAGGGTGGAATGATATAAAAAGTAATGGTTACCTGCAAGTAAGTCCTGTAGGGTCTCTTCAAATCAAACAGATGAAGATTTCCAATGACAGGTAATGCTCTTGGTCCTGGGGGGAAATTCTTCCTTGGGTAACCATTCCAGAAACCTCCTATTTTCATAATGAATAGAAGAGTCAGGATGAGCACTAAGCCCACGGAAATACAGCTATTATAGTCCATTTCTATTCAGTCAAGTATTTTCTGCAGAATATCAAGGAGAAATGAAAATCCAGATCCCTGTCTTGCTGCAGAAAGTTGTCGAGAGATACACTTATACTAGTCCAAAACTTCTTTTCCAGTGAAGGGTATGTTTTTCCTGTGGCTTGTGGTAGATTTGATTGGCTCCCCCGTGCTTGCTAATGGATCCTCAGTATTATACACAGCCAGGTGAATGTTTGCAAGACAAGCTTATGTGACAAAGTGCTTATCTCATGCTTTCCAAGAATAAGAGTCAAAGAGCAGAGGGAACTAAAGGTCACCAGCCTGGTGTTTGGCAAGAAGCCATGCATTCTGTTCAGGTTATTAATTTCAGATACATTTTCAGATATATTTTCACTAATAGTGCAAGCACAGCACCAAATATCCTCAGCACTGAAATCAAAATCAAATAATCCAGTGATTAGTGAATACAGAGATATTTTCTCCCAAGTGTTAAGTAATGGTAAAACTTTGTTCCCATTGAATTCTTTGGAACCATGAATCACTTCACTGAAGGCAAGACTAAACTAGCTAAGACTAACTAACAAGACTAAAGATTCAGATATCTGCCAGGATTCCTAAAGAATTCAAATAACTTCTCTTTCTCTGCTGAGACATCAAGCAGTTATGGTAGAAATCAGTCTTTGGTCTCCTCACTTGTGTTTGCTAATGATCTTCTTGCTTTTACTTGATAATGAATCTTCAGAACAGGACACAGTCAGGTAAATATTTGCCAGACAGACTTGTGTAATTGGGTGACACAGATTTTTTTGTATGGCTCATTGTCCTTGATGAAAGTCCAACAGTCCAGTTTAGTAAAGGTTCACTGACCATTTCCCATATATGTAAACCTTATAAAATCTATAACCCTGGTCAAGTTAATAGTTTTCTATAGCTATGACTTTTCTAGAATTTTAAATATTGACAAGATTTGGTCTCTGGTCCTCAAGTTAGCTAGCATGACTTGATTACAGACCTATCAGCAAGCAAAGCATCTTTTGGAAATTATCCCTGAACGGTACCCAAGCAAAGCCAACCAAGATCAAACTCAGCACCAGGAATGATTTTGTCACTTTACTGGTACAAATGGTAGAGTTATAGTTCCTTTTAACTGTCTAGTACAAACACAGCCACAGTCCTTTCTCAGATATCATGGAGAATCACATTATACTATAACACATTAATTGCACCAGTTCTTAAAGCTGATTAAGGAGTTGTCCACAACTCCTACCTTTTGGAACCTTTTTCTTCCCTTTCTTTCTGCTTCATTGTGTTAACTAGTTTCTCTTCAGTTAATAATTATTCAGACAAATCTTTAAGCACAGGTTATTTCTCTTCCTAGTGGTAACCCGGACTTTGAGCATGGTAGAGGAGCTGGACTCAGTGAAACAAGCACACTGACAATTTTTTGAAGCAGGGCTGAGCTATTAAAATATTCAGAGCCACTGCTGAAGATTAAGGAGCCAGGAGTGAGTAGCATCTAATTCAGCATCCCAGAATATGCTAAAAGTTAAGTGAGATTATTCCGAACGCATCTATTTGAATGTTTCTTATAGAAAAACTTGGGTCAAAATTGTGTTAGTCTGTGTCAGCCTTTTGGTCATGAATGGTGGATGGTATTAGCTCCAACTTAAACCAGATCCCCATAGAGGATGTACTCATGTACATGTGACATGAGTATTGTAACTAACTGGTATGGTGTTTGGAGTTATGGTTATCCAGATGGACTGCACTTAAGTTTTTAGTGTCAATTAAATTCAAAAGCTGTCAAACTATAAGCCTATATAATCATATGTAATTACCTTGGATTAAAACTAGTTTACCTTATTTCATTTGGGATGCCTCTATAGTCTAACATTTACGGAAAGATTGGAGAAAGGTAGAGGAGCAGAGCTAGCACCCCAAGGAATGGAGATCTGGAGCCCTCTGGGAATAAAGAGTAAAGGCAGAAYGAGTTCCTGGGCAGGAACCTTAGAAGAGGACTCAGAGCCTACTGTTGCTCCAGACAGTCTGTGCTGTTGTCAGGGTCTCTGGAAACAGTTGGCCTGTTTCTACCTCTCCTCCCCAAAGGAAGCAAAAAGACACTGCATGCCGATGCCTTCTACGCATATTCACAATTTAATTATTAACAGGGAATGAATCTTGAAATGAAAGGGCAGTTCGGGGTTGTCTCCTGAGGGGCGTGCACCAGGTTATGACCGTGCAGTATTTGAGAACAAGCAGTGCCTCTAGCCATGTGTGCAAGACTCTGGCATTTTGGGAAGAAGCTGAGGGATCTGGATTGCACTGAAATGCTCTGGGAGTAAGAGTCCAGCCCCCTGCTCCACTCCCCTTGTCTGCTCCATCCTGCTGACTTCCTCCAGTGCTTGCTACCAGGCCTTCAGGTAGTGAGTGAGCTGAGCAGGRTGACACTATAACAAGCTCTGGTGACAAGCTGAGTGAGTGTTTCCTTCCTACTCAGGGACTTCTGTCCCCCAGATTTATTTTGAGATGAGGACAGATTGACAGCTTGTTCACTATCCTGCTTCGGGCCAGAGCTTATGATTCCTCTAGCATCAGATGTCAAATACACTATTTAGATCTCAGGATACCTGATCTCCAGCTTTCCTGTCCTGTGGATCCCTGGCAAGTTGTGTTTTTCCCATATGAGTGGTCTATATTACAGAAGGTATTACCAACCCATTTCTGGGTTGTCTCCTTTGGAATGTTTCCTCAGGCTCATATTATAGACAGAGATATCTGTGTCTGCACTGGAAGGGGCACCTTTTATTTAGTTGTCCTAGGTGTTACAGTGGCAGTGATAGTTTTGTTTGCGTACTTAGGATAAAACTCTGCACACGGGGGGCATGAACAAGAAGATAGTGGGTGCCCTGAAGGTGACACAGAAGAACAGGTTCACCTGTTTCTCACTGGAAGCACAGCACTGGTTGTCTGCTCCAAACAAGACTGCCTACAGAGAAGTCATTTAAAGGTGTGCAAGAGAATCCTTGCAGCTTTTAAGACAACATTGACAAGAGCTTGATTCCTCAGTGGAGAAAGATTTTTTATTTCTTTCAAGGTTTAATCATCCTCATCAATGTATACATTATTCTGAAGTCAACCAAATCATTATCAGCTTCCATCCAGTGGATTTCCATTTACTTTCATGTGATGGTCTTCTGTGGTTCTAAGTCAGGTTGACATCTAACGTTGTTTTGCTACACTATGAAGTTATATTTGTGTGTGCGTGTGTGTGATTTTGTTATGTTTTGTGTGATATGCTCTTTCAGTGACCACCACTTTTGGGGGTCAGAACTCACCTCTGGAGTAAAGGTGGATGAAACACCTTGAGCCAAGATGTGAGGTTTGGTTGGGCTATAAATCCTGTCTTGGATTCTGAAGTACCAAACTGCAGATGTGTGACTAAAGAAAGACTAGGATATTTTATCTGATGTTTTGGAAGAAGGATCATGTCTGAGCTAAGTTCTAGGATCGTGGAACTGCACAGACCTCATGACGCAGTGGAGGGGTTGTGATCCCAACAGCAGGAGTGAAGTCCAGATCTGAGATAGAAACGCCAGCAGGAGGTTGGAAGGTGAAGTGCTGCAGAAGACTTGTGAAGAAGAGGAAGAGCTCCATTTTGGCAAGAGTTTCACCAGCACATATCCTCCGTCCTGGAATGAAATGCAGAATAGCCATAACAGTGTCATTAAAAAAAACTTCTTGAGCTGTTGTCAGGGGCTTTGAAATCTGTGCAAATTCAAAATTCAGTCCCTTTGGTAAAGCTGGACTTGTGCAGTTAGCAGATGTGAATGGAAAAGCAGAGAGGATAGTTTTGGGAAGCATCAGAGGGGCATCCTGTATCCATTTGGTAGGAACCTTCTCCACCCCAATTCTGATTCTGCTTTAACAGATTAGTTCTTGCATTTATTGACCCTTGTTGGAAATAGCTATAGCCATACTAGATCAAGATACCCTGARTCAGAGTGGTGTGATGCATTAGGCTGGACAGGTATTAAAGTGTCAAGGCCTGGCCTGACCAGTCAAGGCCTTCCTTATCATGAATGGATTGCAATGACCTTGTCTGACAGTGGGTGCAAAGAGGGCTGATGCTTTCTTGGCTACTGTGCCTTCATTCAGTCCTCAAGAAGGCAGGGATACCACACTTCATCGCTTGGATAATTAGATACTTTTGCTGGACAGATTGTTGGCTGTGTGGAGTTTTGATGAGGAACATATGTTGGTGAGAGAGGTGTTACAGACAGTACCCGTGGAGAAGGCGCATTTGCCATGTTCCCAGGATAGTCATGGGCCATGGGACCTTAGGGAGGGCCACAAGGCAATAGACCTTTAAAATTTAGTCCTGCGTGTCTATTCATTGGGGAAAATAAGTCTGAGATACCCAGTTTTTCTCAGAGCCTGACAAGTAGAAGAGAAGATACCTGCTGAAAATGGCATGAAAGCATCCCTCTTTACAAACTTCCCCTCRGAGTCAAGGAAATGCTCAGGATAGAACATSTCWGGTTTCTCCCACTGTGTTTTGTCTCGCAGGACAGAAGTCAGCAAGGGGATGACGTAGGTTCCCTGCAAGCCAAGACAGAGTAGTTATTCCATTGCTAGTGGCCTTGCTTTGATTATCACAGCAATGGTGAGTGTTGGTGCTCCAGAAAACCATTTTTTTTTACACAGAATCACAGAATTACAGAATGGTTAAGAYTGGGAGGGACCTCTAGAGATCATCTCATCCAAACCTGCTGCTCAAGCAGCAACACCTAGAGCACAGGGCACAGGGCATAGGGTCACACTGAGGGGGGTTTTGAAGACCTCCAGAGAAGGAGACTCCACAACCTCCCTTGACAGCCTGTTCCAGGGCTCTGTCACCCTCACAGCAAAGTTGTTCTTCCTCATGTCGAGATGGAACTTCCTATGTTTCACCCATTTCTCCTTGTCCTGTCACTGGCCACCACTGTGAAGAGTTTGGCCCCTTCCTCCCTACATTCACCCTTCAGGTACTTATACATATTGATCAGATCCCTTCTCAACCTTCTCTTCTCCAGGCTAAACAGGCCCAGCTCACTTAGTCTTTAGATAATGCTCCAGGCATTAGTCTTTGGATAATGCTAGATAGATGCTCCAGGCACTTAATTATCTTTGTTGCTCTCTGCTGGACCCTCTCTAGAAGCTCCACATCCTTCTTGTCCCAGGGAGCCCGGAACYGCACACAGTACTGCAGGTGCGGCCTCACCAGAGCTGAGTAGAGGGGCAGGATCACCTCCCTCCACCTGCTGGCAACACTCCTCTTTGTGCAGGCCAGGATCCCATTGGCCTTCTTGACCATATGGGCACAGGGAAATAGGGAAACTACTGCTACGGAAGCTGTGAGAATTCCAGAGTGAACATCTCTTGACACAAGCAGGACCTGAAAGGGGATTCTTTGCAGAGAAGACAAGGAGAAGAGAAAGAATGTTTTGAACTTCTCACCTTGGGGATGAAGTAACCTTTGAAAGTGACATCTACAGTAGTTGCATGAGGCAAGTTCAATGGCAGGATATTAGCAAATCGCTGAATTTCATGGATAACAGCATCTGTGTATGGCATTTGACTTCGATGTTCAGTTCGTGGTTGATTTGATCCTATCACCTGCTCTATCTCTTCTTGGACTTTTTCTGTGAAAATAATAGGAGTCATACACAGATTTCTCACTCCAAGCTTTTTCCTGATAGGAATAATGAAAACTGGGGAATTCACTTTTTGCTTGGCCCTGCCCAGTGCAGACTCCCAGGCACCGTGACCTGGTAAGAAGGAGGCTGCTGGATCCCTTATTCCACTTACTCTGAATTTCAGGATATCTCATCATTAACAGAAGGCCCCAGCGCAAAGTGGAGGATGTAGTCTCCATGCCAGCTGCAAATAGATTTCTCACAACCTCATTTAAGTTGTCATTATGGAAGTACCCATTAGGTTTACCCTTTTCCTGGGAAAAAAAAAAAAAAAAAGAATTGTTAACAACAGTACCTGATTAAAGATCTCAAAAGGCCCCTTTAAACTGCAGAACCAGTGATTATTTTCAAATATAAATCTCATGGAAGAGTTAAGTTCCAGAGAATGGAAAGAAATGTGAAACTATAAACAAAGATAGCATCTTTACTTTGTGAAATAAGGATTTTATTTTACTTATGAATCACGGGAACAACAGAAAGCTGTCAGTTCAAAGTGAGCAAAGGAAAAAAGAGATTTGAAGAAGCTGTGGAAATTCTATTACCTCTTGTTGTCGCACAAGAAAAGAGTCAATGAAACTCCTCTGGTCATTTCTGTCAAGGGTCTTGAGATGTTCTAGAAAAGTGACCTTGATAAAATCACCAATTTCATCTCTGTTCTTCACAACGGTTTTGCGATCTTTCAGGAGGAATCCAAGGACTGGGAATGCATTGTACAACTGCAAGATGAAGAGTTGGAGAGGAAGCAAAGATAACTGCTAAGAAAAGGCATCACAGCTCAGCAGTGCATATTGATAAAAGTCCTTACTGAAAATAGTGTGTGTTCACACTTTCCTGATGCAAAATATCTCTTTTTCCTTTCTCCTCCTTGGACAACCATGCAAAATGGTTAAAACTTCTCCAGCATGTCTTAACCATACTCAACAAAAGTGGCCTAGAAGTGTTTTTTTTTTTTTTTTTCCTGTAGATGCCTTTAACTATAAACACAATTTCCTACTTCTACACTACTAGAAAATTCAACCCTCCTGCTCAACWTCAGTAGCACCTGCATATCGCAAGTTTAAAAGAAGATACAGTGTTTTTCTCATGCTATTTCTTGATCATGTGGTTAGTGTGGAAGATGGGGAAATTTAACTAACTTTTATCTTGTGGGTACACAGTCCTARTATTATTTTACAGTCTTGAATTCCACTTAATGAAAAGAGGAACTAGCAATCTCTTAGGCCATGCTGGCAGGATAAATTCATAAGTAGTGTGAAAGGCTCCTTTGGAGAATTATTTGCCATGTGCAGGTAGATGTGTTTTGACGGTAAGGAAYGAGGGAGTGTACAGTTACCCTCTGTGTAATGCCCGCCTTTGAAGAGGACTATACAAACAATATGAATTACCTGAACTGATGGACTTCCAATAAGCCTGACATTTTCATTCACCAAAGACAGGAGCTTTTTGAATGTGGGATCTTCATAGTCATACCGTTTACCAAGCAGTATGGACACAATGACATTTGCAACAGCTGCATTCAGTGTAAGGGTCATCTCCAGGGGTTTCCCTAATTTGGGAAAAGGTTGTGCATGCACATGGTTAATACTTATTCAGATAAATCAAAGTWTTGCAGAAGGCAGTGTTTTGTAACTAGCTTGTCAGACAGGACTCTTCCATGCTCCTGATTAAATGAGGAATGTGCCTGAAGTATGCTGTGTCATACAATTGCCAGGTAGACAGACAGAAAGACAGACAGGCAGATAGATCATGTAAAGTCATGACATCATTGATGCTGGAAAACAGAACATCTTTGAGGGAGCTATGACCTACTTYCTCCTCATCCTTAGTATTCTTGTATGAGACTTGCGGAAAAACAGAGMAATTTTATGAAAGTAAAATTCTGTTCACCTTTGTGCATCTCAATGGTGTCTACCAGGCTTCTACACTCTTCTACAATGAAGTCCTCTATAGCCTTCTTGCCCATTCCAAAATCTCGTAAGGTTGTGAGAGTAAATCTTCGCATCACTTTCCAGTTTTCTCCATTAGAGAATATAAGTCCTGAAATGGAAAACAAAAGCACAGAATTAGAGATTTCCGAAACAGGTAAAGATCCCTTTCCCACTCTGGATCCTGGTAAAGTAGGGCACGATTAGGAAACACTTCAAACTCTCAAGGTACTGCATCCTCATTTAGAGTGAAATGAGACAGGAAATAAATGCTGAGTGAAAGCGATGAGAGAAGCCCCCACTGCTCAAAGTTCACATGCTTGTTGATGCCTATCACAGAATCACAGAATGGTTAAGCTTGGAAGGGACCTCTAGAGATTGTCTAGTCCAACTCTCCTGCTCAGGCAGCAACACCCAGAGCACGGGGCACAGGGTCACATCTAAGTGGGTTTGGAAGATCTTCAGAGAAGGAGACTCCACAGCCTCCCTAGGCAGCCCGTTCCAGGGCTCTGTCACCTTCACAGTGAGGAAGTTCCTCCTCACATAGAGATGGAACTTCCTGTGTTGCAACTTACACCCATTTCTCCTTATCCTGTCACTGGCCACCACAGAGAAGAGTTTGGCCCCTTCCTCCCTACATTCCCCCTTCATGTACTTATACATATTAATCAGATCTCCTCTCAGTCTTTTCCAGGCTAAACAGGCCTTTTGATAGACTAAGGATTTTGTTTCATCCAAGATTAGAGCAGAGTGTTAAATTTGCCTCTCCTTTGTGGAGGTTAGGTATGCTTGTCATCATAGATGTCTTTGGGAATAGATGCAATTCCCACTAGGGAGTGCACGTGTTTTTCCATAAACCATAGGAAATATATACCCCCTCTGATGTGGGTATGTGTGTGCAAAATTTCTCTAGCGAATCCCACACATATGCATCCTAGAAAAGCTGCAGAGATTTCTCATTGGCATCTTCAGAGAGGTTTAGATCAAGTAGGTGCTGCAATTTACTTTCCTTGCACCTTTCCCTATCATACTCTCTTATTCTTGCTGATAGACTTTTCCAATAAATTTTAAGTCCCTAGTGAGGAAAGGAAGAATGTAAACATGGGTTGACTTTTAGCAACATGTAGGTTACACAGAGTTAGTCACTAGACACAAAGGGGTCCATCTTTGTTCACCAGCCAACTCACCAATTCCTTTTATTGCTGTTCCAAGGATGGGGATATCTGGTCTCCCTGCAAACGCATCTGCCTGGTTCACCAGAGCTTCCTTCACTGTTTCGTATCCTGACAGCACTACTACTTTTTCTTGTCCCATCTGAATGCTGAAGACTTGTCCATATGTTTTGGACAGCTAGTGGGATGAATGGAGACAGTGATGTCAGACAATAACCAGAAAGCCCAAAATAATTAATTCTTAGCCTGTTCAAGATTCTTTTTTTTTCTCATCTTCCCATGCAACACAGAATGTCCAGACTATGGAGAAGAGATCATGGAAATACTCATAGAAATGTTGTAACTGTTATGAAGACAATGCCTCATAATAGGGTCTGCAATCTCCTCCCTTTTGAGGAGAAGAGTCGAAAGGCTCTGAGTGCCCAGGTAAGTGAGGATGTCATGGCAGAGTAGGACGAAGCCAGAGAAGGGCCCCAAAATAGAAGGGCAAAGTACAGACCATGGCATGGATGCAGACCTGGAGGGAGAATGCCCAAAGGCGTGAAGCAGTCTCTGAATTTTAGTTTTGGGTGTAATCAGTGCTGAGGAGTCCTCAGAGAGGCATTTCAGGGCCCTGACTTGGTAACTCAGATAATTCAGAACTCCTAGGCTAGCACAGGGCTGCAGTTGTGCTTAACTATGCATAGCTTTAAAGAGATAAACACAAGGAGAATTTTTTAGTAATTATTATGAGAGCTGTTCAGCTCACAGTSAAATGCTTAAAATGGGAAAAAATGCTAGGGCTCACATGACCCACAGCAACATCCTATCTTGAAATTCCAGTGATGGCAGCAGCATTTAGAAGAAAGAGTGAATCTTGTTGTAGCTGAAGCTCTCTGCTTAGAAAACTTTTTGTAGCTCTGACTGCGTATCAGAAGCTTCCTTACATTCACAGGGAAATGTGGAAAAAAAGAATAGCAGAAGAGCTTACCTCTAGCATTGTCCGATAAGGCCTCTTCAGATCCAGGATATGCAGATTTCCTATGATGGGTAGAGGCCTGGGTCCTGGTGGAAAGGCCCCTTTTGCATGTTTATTCCAGAAATATTCTCTTTTCAGAACCAGCAGGAGAATCAGGACTACAACTAAGCCTGCTGGAACGAAGCTGAACCAATCCATTGTCATTCAGTGTCAGTTTACTTAGCTAGAGAGAGGAAATGCAAGCCAACGTGCAATCTTCTGTCAGAAGTTGTCTGAAGCCCTAATATAGTCATATACTAATAGAGATATATGCCTTTCAGTGCTAACAGATGACAGGACTTCTTTCCTGGGTTCCCCTCATCGCACAATTCCTGCAAAGCACTTTCTGCACCAGCTGCAGTCCTCTCTTTTGTTTTGCTCCAAGCTGGTTACTCTTTAATGGGAGGCATGCGGCTTTCTAAACTAATCCTGTGCATTGGCAGATAAGTCCAGGGGCATCAGTCTAATGTGGGAACAACAAATTAAACAGGACGTTAAGCTTAGTGGGTTTAAAGTTCATATCTAAAACAGTAACTCRCACCAAAGGACATGGAAACCTAGAGAAACAGGTTTGCAAAGCCCACCCTGTGGTCATCCCTATCTGTTAAGGTCTCTGCTCTTAGGCCTTGCTGTCTCACTGTCTTCCTTAAAACTATCCAGACTTTGATGGTACTGTATATCAAAGGACTGTCTTTTTCTTATTATCATAACATTTTAGTTATATACACTATGCTTCGCTTTGCACTATACTTYGCAGATTAGGTTCTTGTTGTCTACTTTTCTGTTTTTCTCTATAAATCCACTTGCAGCTTTGAAGCCCCTTTTCCTACAAACAAAACCTCTGGAGTGTTGGAGTGGTTATAAAGATTCCTCTGAAGTAATCTGGAGGCAGTTACAGTGTTAGTGTAGAAGGTCCATTGATTATAAGTGCTTAGGGAAGGCAAAGCTTAGTGATGAACTTCTTTACTCCTAAAGGAGTAGTCAGAGTTCAAAATGGGTTGAAGTAGTCTCTGAAGTAGTCAGAGTTCAAAACGGGTTGAAAGGTAGGGTGAGACCAAATTGTCCAAATTGTGAGGTCTGCATAGCCACAGCTTCCTCTGTAGAGAATAGCCCTACTACAAAAAGCCSTACTGAAGATACCATTCTCCCCTCCCCAAATTGGAAACCAAAACAGGCCACACAATCTGCACCTCAAAAGTTCAAATTGACAAACTCTCTTTAAGCTCTTTCACATTCACCTACCAGTAGCTACGTTTTCATGCAAGGTAAAGGGAAGCTGTACATGTAGAAGGAGAACTCTCCAGTGCAACACAGTCTACAACAGTTATGTTTGTGAGATATCCTAAGGGACAGCTTGATTTGATAGAGAATATTCCTGGGGAAAAAAACAGGTCCAATATGGGCAAGATTCTTCCTGCGCAGGGGAATTTAGGATATAGCAAGGTCCTCAGCAGCTGTTGCCAGTTACTCCTGAAAGTGTGTCAGTTCTGGAGACTGGAGGAAGTTCTTTCTCCCCTGAAATCCTCTGAATCAAAGGCAATCTCTGAGGCCTATGTTTTGAAAGAGAGAGATTTCAACAGGTTAGATTTATGTCAAAGGTATTCATAGTCACCTTTTCCATCATATCCTGTTACCAGTGCATGCTTCCTCTGTCCTCTGCCTACTGAACTTTTAGATTTCCCCTCAGAAGAAACTGCAAACATTGGATCAAGCAGGTAGTGGATTTTGCACCTCTGCTTTGGTGCTGAGTCTCCTGGGCCTGCAAAATGGCATTTACTTCCTGATACAACTCACTCTTTCCAGTTGTGGGGCTATCAGATACAAGAATACCCTACTTGGATTGTGTTTGAACGAGGAAAAGTCTTGACTGAGAATATCTCATCAAGCTTCCAGATACAGCGGCTCTGATGAAAAAGGATACAGTTGAGGTAAGTTCAGAAATAGAAGTCAGGGCTTACAGCACTTAACAGGGAGGTGGAATAACTGATGGTACTTTCTTAATGGAGAACAGACTTCAGCAGCTAAGTTTGATATGKGATTTTGCATGTTTATTCAACTGAATTTATTTTTATTTAAATCCAAAWTAAAGTTTCAGGGTCATTCTTTGTGAAGCACTTTTTCAGTCACCATTGCTTGTTTCATTCCTTGCTTTACTTTTCTGTCGGGTCTTGTGCCCATAAGCAAGAGGAGTTGTCAAGAAAATATTACGAGCTTCTGGTAGTGAGTCCAGCGAGACAAAGCACATGGGGGTTGTTACAATACCCAAAAAACTACATAAGCTAAGGAATTCWGAGTGAATGAGAATTAAGAAAGGAAATAATGCCCTGAAGAAGGAAAAAAATATGTGCTGAACCTAAGATATTTGTTAGTGATTTATGCAATATGTTGCACCTCAAATATTTGTTCATGACTGGRTGGAACAAAGAACTCAATTTGATTTTTTTTTTTCCCGTTTTTTGTTTGCTTGTTTGTTTGTTCGTTTGTTTTTCCCAGGCGATATCACCATAGATGTGCTCCATAAAAAAAAACCTCATCTGGGAGGGTAGGAATTATGGCATATGCTAAAAACATTTKAAATCCAATCTCTTCATATTATGCAATCATTATGCTGTAGAGCCTGGACTTATGTGTCTTCAAAGGTAAGAAACTTGCCTTAGACTTCTGACCATMGTAATTTAAAGAAGAGGGAAAGAGAGAAGAGCCTGCAGGATTCTCTGGGAATGGGGAGTCAGGATTGAAAAGAAAAATGGGGAATGTCTTGTTTGTCTGAGGAAAGAGAGCTGAGGCAGAGCTTTTTTTTGGTATGTCTTCATGCCTGATAGAGCAAGGAASAGTGAACTGAAGACATGGTGAAAAAAACATGTAGGGTTTTCACAGAGCATGACCAACACAGATGAGCGGTGGCTTTAGGACAGTACTTGGAAGAGTTTTCTGGAAGGACAGCAGTGGGGGGAATCGTACTTTGTTGTSGGAAGAGAATGTGTTGCCCATGTGAGTAAAAGTGCTCAGGTGGATTTTCTTGCTGTTAACTCCTTAGTCATGATCCCTGCAGAGATATGATCAAAGGCTGAGGAGAAGATTTAGCATCCCAAGGATTGGGCTCTAGGAGTGAAGAGCAAGGCAGTGCGAGTCCCTGGGCTTGGAAGAGGAGTTAGAGAGACTCTGCTGTTGCTCCAGGCTATGCTGGAGCAAATTTTGCTGGAGCAAGCTTTTTGTCAGGGTTTTGTCAGACTCTCWTTTAAAGGTCTCTGGAGCAAAGGCTGACCCATGTTGCCTAATTGGGACCTGTCCAGGAAAACTGTCCAGGGCTTGCATCCAGCTCTGTGCCAGTTGGCCTGTTTCTACCCCACCTCCCGAAAGGAGATGAAAGGGCACTGTGCATGTTCATGCTTTCTACACATATTCACAATTTAACTATTAATGAGGAATAAGTTAGATGCTGACTCTTGAAATAAAATGAAAGGGCAATTCTGGGTTGTCTCCTGAGAGATGTGCACCAGGTTAYGTCCGTGCACTATTTCAGAACAAGCAGTAGCCACGTGTACAAGACTCTCTAGCATTTTGGGAGGAAGCTGGGGGATCAGGAGTGCACTGAAATGCACTGGAGGAGGAATCCAGCCCCCTGCTCCATTACCCTCACCTACTCAGTTCTGCTGATTGCTACAAGTTAGTGCTTGTGAAGTTAGCAGCAATTACACACAGGCTGTATTTGCTCTCATCCTGAAGTGCAGCAAGATGTTCAAATATTTAATCTTGAATGTCTTGAGATTTTCGCACTTCAGCCCAAATATTGGGGATCCTCTGATGAGTGATATCTCTAGACATGACGAGAAACAACTGAACTGTTAGCAGAATRTTTGTTAAGGTCAAATATTGCACTGCTCTATGGTGTATAAAGTGTAGGCAGGATAACTCATGCATTCTTATAGCAGCATGAAAAAATTCTTCTGGTCCTTCATCATCACAGTAACAAACTTAGTAGATCAAGAACACCACTTTTAAATTTACCAATTCTCTTTATGTAAATTGAACCAGAAAAAAAATGGGCAGAGGTGTAGGAATCAGTGTTCTGGCCATCAGTGAAACTTTCTGAAAATTTATGAGATCTATGCATATTGTCTTTGTCCTCTGCTATAAAGTAAGCTGTGCCAAGGCACTGGAACATGAGCTCTTTTTTTTTTTTTTTTTTCCAAATCATCCTAGGTTTTCAGATAGGCCAGGACCAGCTTTTTGAAACAGAAATCTTGTCCTAGAGAGGAAAAAAAGGGTCTATTGTCATCCATTCATTGATGATACTCACTGGACATCTGGCATAGAGTCAAGAAAAGGTATCTTGTTTCCTGTTGATGTTAATAGGATAGACATAGCTTCTGTGGCAGGTTCTGAATATGTCAAATAGGCTGTTTCAGCAAGGAGCAAGTCCTGGGCATTATGCTAGTAAGTTGGTTTGGTAAGTTTGAATAGAAGCCAAGCTGCAATGGGAGCAACTGTGTATGTGTAAAGAAATTTTGTGGGTACTTGTGTCTGCAGAGAAGACCTTCCCACTCTAAGACCACCTGAAACTTTGACTCAGGCTTACAGTGCAAATTTGTATTGTTTGGAAGATCTTGGATTTGGAGGAGCAGTAACTGTGTGGTACTTCAGCAGCTTGGCTGAATATTTTGATGAGATACAACCATGAGCGGAGTCCTCTCCGGAAAG